GTTTTTGGTAAAGAAAAAGTAAAACGCATTGAAAGCTTGGATCTCAGGTTTATTCTAAATTGCTTTGGTTCTATTCCTACATTCTCTTTTCAACTTAAGCTTTACTTGTTACTTTGTCATGTAACTGACTCCTTGTTTTCTGAATTGAGTGTTAAAAACAATCCAACATATACTGCAGGAAGTAGATAACAGCATCAGTAAGTCATAATCAACAGGAGAATGTGCGCTGCGTGCCTGGAGATAAGTTTCTGAAGTCCATAGGATTACATGCTGCGAATAGCTCCGGTAGGAACAAGTTTTTCTTTTGTTGGATTGCATCCCATGTCCTTGCATGACCGATCATTGCAATAGACATGCAGTAGAATGCTCAAACATGACCTTTTATAGCTGTTTTGATCATCTCTGCTCTTGCTAAATGGATTGAAACAAAACCAAGACACCAAAAAGAAATGTTTTAAAAGTTATAAGCTCCAAAGAATTTGTGGTGCTAACAATTGACTCTCGAGTCCATTACCAGAGGGCTGGGGTCCAACAAAGCGAAACTGAGAAGCTCAGGATCACGTTGCAGGATTGCCATGTCTTCTTCCTCCAAGCTCACCCATGCTTCCACGCCGTCACCGGTAATTGTATCCGCTAAAACGATCATATTCGTGAACACGGATCCCTTTAACCCAATACTGCTAACCCATACTGGCTTCCCCCACCCAAAATCAGATCCATAGAAATCGAATCTGCACCAACTGCTAAAACCAAAGTAATCGAATCCATCTCTGGAATCCCTCATAGACTCAGTAATTAGAGGTTTCCGTTCTCCACCCACGAGTTTTTTCACAAAGTCACTGTCGATTTTCGATATTGCTTCCCTCAACTTACCCACCAAGTAATGCAAATCCATTTTGGAATTTGGGTAGTGTTCTGCCGCTGCAATCCAAAGGAGATTTCCTATGGAATTCTCCGCCAGGATCGGCGACGATATTCTTCTACGTAGGTTCACCAAGTGGCACAATAAAGATGGCCTTTGCCAGCGGACTCGTGCCTTCGAAGCAGCCATGGCGGATTTCCATATGCAGGCGGTAACGACCTCAACCCGAGTTGGGACTTCTGCGCTCGAACAACTTGCTTGGGACTTGAGTGTGGCGATAGCCGTAGAATCAAACATAAATCTCCTGGTGATACACTTCCCTTTCTTCACTAAAGAACTCGACAGGAGGGGTGAAGAATCTACATTGGTTGCTGGGATGAAGAGATCAGACGTATAAGCAAAGAAGTTGGGATGCACAGCTTCTCCACTGCAGCCACGAGAGGTAGCACTCCACGCCTTGAGGAAGGTGCTAAGAGCAGCACCATCAAGGATCTTATGCGAAATGCATATCCCAATAGCCATGCCTCCACATTCAAAGATGTTCACTTGAAAATAACTTACATGAGTTCCTGCAAGGGGTTCCTTCCCAGTGAATCCGCAAGGAAGGAAATCATTGAGTGAAAGAAGGTCAGGTTGGGTGAGAAAATCTTTGAAGTGACAATTGACTCGAGCTTGGATAAAACGAGCTCCTTCATCATTGCAGTCGATGTAACAATCATCTTTGATTACTCCGGCCAGTGGGTAGAAGTCAGGTAAGATGTTCGACAGAGATCTCTTCAGCAGGTTTACTCTGCTTGGAATGTCAACAATAGTGGTAGTAGTAATAGAAAAAGAAGAAGAGTTATTTATGGGTAGAAGAGGATGAGTGGGGCATAAGGAATAGGAATGAGCTGATCCAAATAGGAAAGCTTGAAGAATTTAAGGTGCTGAGGTGTTGGGGAAGATGGCTTTATGTTTTCGGTGGAAATGATTTCTACTTCCATTTTCATTGTTGGTTGCAATATTAGTTCGGTCTACTCTCCACACGGCACTATGCACTAGCTTCCTCCCCATATATAGCTGCTAGGGAGAACATTTCAGATAAATCAGCACTCAAAATTACAGTAAGATACTAAGATTCTTTGGTTGTTATCTTTAATTTGTCGCAGAATTGCAAATCCTACAGAAATTAGCCATTGGAGTAGTTAAGTCCTTTCCCATGCTAATAAATGACAATACGTAACTGCATAGATCATCATTCTTGTAATTTGGGCACACGCATGATTCACATGTGGGTGAGTATGACAGATACAAAGAAAATATATGTGGATACTCATAAATCTATTAAGCTAATAGGTTAATATTTTCAGTTCAAGATAGCATCAGACCGTATTCATTCTTGTTTGTAACTTCTTTAGCTCAAACTCCCTACCACATGTGATTGACATCGAAAGGACTTTTAACAAAGACATCGAGGGGTTTACTTTCCAATGAATATGAAGTTATCGCTATTGTCAACCATATTTACAAATTATTATCGAGTTTTGAGTCATCGCATGCATGCGGTGTTGTGTTGATTAACAATTGGCTCCCTGTTTTTTGAATTCAATGCCTTGGGCTTGACCCTGGGATTAACATTGATTTCTTGAGATACAGAATTCTAGTGGTTCAGACTATATAACATGAGACAATTTCGAAGAACAAAATATTATTCATTTCCTGGTATAAATACAATCTCTGCTTCACATAAAAATGATTGCTGAGAGGTTTATTTGATAATACATGGAGGTCAATATCCAAACTGATAGACACATAATGCACCCTACAACGAAGAATATAAGCTTACAATTTGAATGCGCTTCACAACTTAACAGTTTGCTAAAGCTCCTTCTTGAGATTCTACCCAATACCTTGGCCTTTTCCCGTAAGACATATTTCTGCATCATTCATGTTGCAGTTGTCAGCAAATCCTGGAAAATCACAGTTCGAGGAGCCATTAATTGGGGTAATTATCTAGGAAATAATAAGTTTTTAGGCACTTGCATTGGATCCATCTTTCAACTTCACAAATGCACAAGGTGTCTCTCCCAAATAAT